TATTCCTGACAGTAGTTCCCTGCAGTATTGTTATCTGGCAACGCGAGAGGAACGTATATTAATCATTCATCGTTGGTGAATTCATTACGCGCGTTACGGCTCGCGCGGTTTTATAAATTGCCATATTTTTATTAACACAAGAGATGCTGGAGACGCAACATCGAGCGATAATATAGCTATAGCGAGTTTTTCGGTCCACGTATACATATATACGTATATACATATATATCCAGGTGTTGCCGCGAGCTTTCGCGTTCGAGAGAACCGCGCGTTCTAAATGAATTAAGTAGAGCGTCCCCGCGTCGTGTCTGACCTAGTTGAAAGAGAGAGTGCGTGCCTAAATATCTCAGGCATCCAAGCCCGTGGGAGCGATACAATTAATAACGATAAAACTGCTAATAGATCGAGATCTCTCGGTCCGACACGCTTTTCAAGTGCTCGAGGAAATTAATTTTCTCAAAGTCGAGAAAACTCGCAATTTCTCTCCTCGAGTTGGCAGAAACGTGAGCATGCTGCGCTGCTGCTCCGTAACGATCTGCCGATCCAGCATCCAGCTCGTAACTCGTAACAGGCCGCGCATCGCGCATCTCAGGTCTCAGGTCTTAGGTCTAGGTCCTATAAGAGATCCTATAATAAGAGACTGGCTATAAGACAACCAGTTTTCGATTGGTCCGCCAGTTTTGTCAAAAGCAAGAAAAGAGAAAGAGAAAGAGATATAAGAGAGAACGAGAAAGCGAAAGTGATATGAATATATATCCCCTCTCGTACGATTTTGACAAAACTGGCCTTATGGCCAGGCCAGTCTCTTATTATACAGGGTCTCTATCGGGTCCGTTTTCACGCGTCGCGCCCGCGCCGGCCAATTCCAGAGACCCCGAAGGGGATGTAGAATTGCGTAGAGGAGACTCGACAGACACGGGGATAATCAGTCACGCGGCATCGCGCGATGATTAATCGGTCGAGTTATCCGGCGACGATGATTAATTGAACGGGACGCAAAGGATGAAGGAGGCCTTTTTCCCTTCCCGGGATTCGGTAAGCTCGACGCTCGCCCTTGGACTAGGGATGAATATTCGCGCCAACAAGGAAAATCCATTACCTCCTCCGCGCCGTTATGCCCCGCGCGGCCGCGGTCGTTATGCCTTCCCTCTGTCATTCCTCAGTTCCTCACCCACTGCGGGCGACCGCGATCTCTATATGGCCGGGATACACGGTACATGGCGCGATTACGCTGCGTCCTGCGAGCGATAATCATCGTCACGCGTGTTTTACGAGCGCTCGAGGAAAATAATTTCCCGTCCCGGGAAATTATCCGTTTATCGTGGAAACGCGCAGTCTCTCTCGCGTCGTGCCGCGCGCTAGTTATTCCAAACAATACCGTCGCTGGCGACCAAGCGGCTCGGAATCTACACAATTGCATTCGGATTGAAGCCAATTAAACTCGGTTACGGAGAGTGGATTCATCGGGCATGTTACTTGACATGGACCGCATTGAATTTCGCGAAGCGCGAGAACGCGACGATAATACAGCATTTTACGGTCGGTATATACAGTATACAATATAATGTAGATATAACGAGGGTCTCAGTACGAAAGTAATGCCTCCTAATAGTTTTCTTTCGAATTTGACGCCATAGAAAATTTTGCGTTTCAATGAGTTATTACTTGGAGTCTCTATATAGTTGCGTTGTGTTGAGTGGTGTTGTCATCATTTACGTGAGTATGTCAAGTATGTCACACGAGCAGTTTGAACTGGTGTATGTTTCAGTCATGTGCGTAACAGACAAGGGCGGTGCAGGTGGTTGAATTTCTTACCGTGGAAGAAGTGAGTATTGAAATCTATTCGTATTTCAGAAATAGTCCTTGTCTATTACGCGTATCTAAAATACACACACACACACATCAGTTTGAACTGTTCGTGTGACATCTAACGTAACTGATGACCACATTCAACATAATGCAGCTAGAGACTTCAAGTAACAATTCAGTACAACGCAAAATTTTTTATGACGCCAGATTCAAAAGAAAAAAAATTAGGAGACCGTAATACGTAACGACTCTTGTATTATAAAGGTTATCTCTTCAAAAAACGTTTAATAAACAGAAATCTCATACTTTTGTATTGACTCTTGTATATTATTGTATATCGCAATGTATAATGTCGCACGTATCGTATTGATATTATTGATCTTTCGAGGACATCATGGACACGCGAGACGAAGAAAACGCGAGTTTTTTTCAACGCGCGATAAATAGATCGGCCTCGGGAGTGGTTGGGGGTGGTTGGGAGTGGTCGCGCGACGGCCGCACAAAGACCGGTCGCGTTCGAATTTCGATATCGCGACTTGCGGCGTGAAAGCACGGGACGAGAATGGATACGACACAAAAGGCAGACGCGCGACACCTGACCGACCGACACGAAGCCTCCGGAACTTACCTAGCATTCAACACGTCGCACGTCGCGCGAACAGGCTCGGTTCCGCTCCGATGATGCGTCCATTCAACACCTACGCCGCCACCCTCGGGGCTGGAAAAGTGGCCCCGACAATAAAGCAAATACCGGCCAGCCGGCCAGCGCGGCGGCAAGAAAGATGAGTCCGCCTCCGCGTCGTCAATAATTCTCTCCTTTCTCCGTGCCGCGCCGATTTACCCCGATACCACTATTACCACCCCTCCAATAATCGACTCCATAATAGATTCTCAAAACCCGAGGGACGAGTTTGATTTACCGTTGCTGAATTCTTTTCGCGATTCGGCCGCTGAAAGATTCAAGTCGATCGGAATAATAGCTGGGTGGGTTCGCACGTCCATACCGCGCCGTCGTATATTGTATATATAGGCTTTATTTTATTATTGAGAGAGAGGGGGGGGGGGGGGGGGGGGAGATACGCCGAAACTTTGTCGTAACCTTTACGTGACTGTGAGCACTCAACTCTACGTTACTCGCGTGAGGTGTAAGATACACACCTCAGCCTCAGAAATCCACCAACTTAGCCGAGTGAAACATTTTTATCGATCGAATGCTGCCCAACGTGCTTCACAATAAACAACTTTTTCGTTAACACATATCGTTATCTAGATTTAGAAGATGTGTATACAGGATACCATCAACCTTTATTTCTTTGTAAATCATCAAAGAGAATATAATGAAAATTATATAAGAGATATAACGTTGGGGTGTAAAATACACCTCACGCGAATAATTACGTTAAGAAGAAACCACGTGAGTAACACGTAAAGAACTCGTCGTTTTTACGAGAAATCAGACGTGAGAGGTCTTATCGACAACATAGTACAGTGCTTGATAACTTACTGATTCAAGAACCGTTACTAAATGACAATAGCAATTAGGATTGACGCGCTCGGAAGTTGGTAATTCTTTTTGGCGAACAAAAAGACGTGCCTCCTGTGAGAATTGAACTTACGATCCCTGGTTTACGAGATCAGTGCTCCTACCTCTGACAATGAGCTAAAGAAGCATTTGGCATTCCGCGTCCATCGGGCAAGTATCGTCCACTTTTCCGTAACTTGTTCTTTCGTTAGATCGCCACGTGCCACGTGGAAAGGGATATCTCCCTACTCCCTAGTCCCTGTATAAATTGAACGAGATGAAATACCGACGCAACGTAAATATTATATACCTGCGTCCTCTTGAGATTGAAATGAGAAAGACGAGTACCCTCACCGGGGCGACCCCAGGGTCCCCCCCGCACCTCTCGTTTCCTGAAATAATCTTCCTTTATTAAAGATATTTAAGTATGAAAAATAAAGATCTTGGTAGAATCGACGAGAGCAAACAGCGAGCGAAAGCTGCGCAAAGCAATTTCGGTCTCGGAGGGCAATATCACGTTATCGCGACCACGCGATCGTGATACTCATGCATATATGCACGTATGTTACGTATACGTTCATGCATGGTCTCATTGTTAGAGGGAGGAAATAGGAATAAAGCCGTACGTAACATGTCTTTTTTTAAATTGAGAAATGTGCGTTGTGCCGCCGCGCGTGGGCGACCCTCGTCCGGGGAGATAGCGCGCAAAGCTCCGCGACACCCTGTCTAGTGTCTACCTGTCAATAACTACAACCTACAATACATACGACTGCTATCCACGACGGCACGACGCCACGAGCCATGAGCCGTGAGCCGCGGGGCGGTGGACTGCGGGAGCGGGGGGGGCCGGGACCAGCTGGAAGGCATTATTCGGGCTTCGCGCCATTCGTGGCGGATAAGCGCGCGATAACGCCTCGCGGCGCAGCCAAGCTGATTTATTGACAGCCTCGCCGCGCGCGTTTTTTCGTCTCGTGACTGCACGTGACTCGAGGCAGCACTGGCACTGGCAGCAGCAGGCAGCAGGCCAGCTGGGCCAGCAGGTAGCGACGTAGCGTGAAAGCGCGCGTCGGCGTCGAACACAATGGCGCACCGCGCACCGCACGTGGTGTCGCGCGTGTATTGTGTATGTGTGACGCGCGGAGCGGCGCGGCGCCGCGGCGCGGCGAGCAGAGGCAGAGGCCGCGAAAGGAACTGGGAATACTGGGAAGAAAGAATGAATAAACTAGCGAGCCAACAATGCACGCGCGTGGGATACTTATTGATATTTATAAACGATACGAAACGCGCTATGGGAAATAGGGCAGCCACTTGCCACTCTTGTCAGAGTCAGAGCCGTCAGTGGAGCGGCGCGAAGGGTGAAGGACGAAGGACGTCTCGCGGAAGTAGTTGGTAATGGGTAGCGGGCCGTCACGGGCGAGCGTCAAGCCGGCAAGCCCGCCCGGAGTCCGGACGTGTCTCGCCACAGTCACCACCATCGTTGGTCGTCGGTGAGGTCGGTGGTCGACTGGTCGCGCGTGACAATCGTGACTCCGGACTCGTGACTTGTGACATTGCGTGACATGCCGTGCCGCCGCCGCCGCTGTCGCCGCCGCCGCCGGGGCCAGGTCGTGAGGCAGCGCTTGCCGGAACGGTAAACGGTGCTCGCGGCGCGCGCGGATGCGGTCGCGTCGTTGCCGTCGTTGGGCCGCGAATCGCGGTGTTCGCGGTCGCGGTCGCGGTTCAGATGTCCGATGTCGAAGCAACGGAGGGCCCGTTCCCGATTCAAGGTACAACAACCGCAAGGGTTAACCTTTACACGCGGAAGGAAGGAATGCGAGAGCGAGGGTCCGAGCACCGAGGGTGAGCGCGACGGCGAGACAGCTCTCTAATTAGCTTGCCCGAGAGTCTCGCCGGGTTAATAATCGCTTCCTGTCTTCGTGCCACAATGCCATTATCGATTGTTTATAGGCAACGAAACCGAATAGCAACCACCTTACCAGCGATATCAGCAACGAGCTGCAAGGCTGCAAGCTGCAATGAGCGTCGCGAGTCGCGAGCGAGTCGAGGTCAAGTTCGTTCCTATATCTAGCTAGATCAGTTGATCAGTTCTGAATGTTCTGATCAGTTCGTTCCAGTTCCCAGCTCTAGTCCTCTCGTTTGCGAGATGCAATGTAAAACAAAACGGACAAGCTACGGGATGCTGCCATCTGATCCGCACTCCGCAGTTTCCTGGAGCACCGTTCAAGTCATAATCTTGCACTGAGAATGCTCTACCGGTGAATCGAAAGGAATACGTGACAAGTACTCGAGACAGTCGAGTCTATCGTGAATTTTCTATCTTTAAGGCCAGAGTTTTCCTTCGCTTATACAGAAATAGTTTTCTTTAAATCAATTTCAATACACAATGTTTCTCAGAGCGTGAGTTGGCAGACTTCATTAACTATTGTCGCTATTATCCTATTCCAAATTACGAAATAGAACAGGAACGTCATTAAAACGTCATTATTATATTTCTTCTTATATAACATATTTTTTACGCATATTATATACGTATGTGACGATTAGTAATGTAGCAATGTGATGTCTCTTGTGTATTAGGTGATAACTCCGCTTCGGTCTTTGGTTCTCTGTGGTGAAAACAGAGATATGGAGGAGTGGTTCAACACCCTGAGAACAGCGACGGAGACGCGTCCTCAGGGTGATCCTGGAACTGCCGAGTTGCTGGAAGGTAATCATCAGTGGTATGCGACTAGTCACGCCAGACCTACGTATTGCAATGTCTGCAGAGATGCCCTACATGGTAAGCAACTTTTTTTTTTAATCTCGCAAACAAACTTACAATTTAGCTGGTTAAAGTGGTAGGGCAAAATTAAATTTACGATGCCATATCGTTACAGGTGTTACTTCCCACGGTTTTAGTTGCGAAGCTTGTAAATACAAGGTACACAAGAGATGTAGCGCAAAAGCAATAAATAATTGCAAGTGGACCACTTTAGCATCTATCGGAAAAGATATCATTGAGGACCAAGATGGGGTATGCATATATGTTATTTTATTAAAAATATATTTTTGAGTATATTAAGAATCAATAAAAGTATAATTCCAATCGGACGCATATCTTTTAATAACTTACCTTACAATCGATTCATCTGTACGACAAATGTTAGGAAATTAAGAATGCACAATTTTTTATACATTCATTTAATTTCATGTCTTGTTTAATCTATGTTTATAGAACATCACGATGCCACATCAGTGGATGGAGGGAAATTTGCCAGTGTCCTCAAAATGCTTTGTCTGTGAAAAGACGTGTGGCTCTGTACTTAGGTAGTTACATCCCACGATATTTTTACATAAGCAATTGATTTATTTAAGTTAATTAAGCTTCATTTCGTCAAAATCGATATATTATTTATAGGCTTCAAGATTGGCGATGTTTATGGTGCAAAGCAACTGTGCACACAGCGTGTAGACCTGCCATAGGTGTCAGGTGTCCGCTAGGACCAGCTAAACTCAGTGTAGTGCCTCCTACAGCTTTGCACAGTATAGGTACGTGCACTGTCTATTTGTATTGTAAATGATAAATTATATCACGCACGCACGCGTTTCATGTATAGACAATTTACATGTATATTTAAATATAAAACTTTTATAATAACGTGTGGTTCGATTGTTATCAGGTAGCGACGAAGCTTGGGAAGCAGTTAGACCTACGGGATGCAGTCCACTTTTAGTATTTGTAAACAGTAAATCTGGTGACAATCAAGGTATTAAGTTTCTTAGAAGATTTAAACAATTACTGAATCCCGCACAAGTGTTCGACCTTATAAATGGAGGACCAGGTCCAGGGTAAGGGAATCTTTACACATATGCTGATCGATCATAAATCTATAATTCGTTATCGTACGTGTAGCAAGGTGCATATATGTATAAACGCATCGAGTATATGAGTCATATTTCTTGTACAGATTAAGACTGTTTCGACACTTTGATCCGTTCCGGATTTTGGTGTGTAGTGGAGATGGATCTGTAGGATGGGTGCTCTCAGAAATCGATCGGCTTGGAATGCACGTGGGTATAAACGTGTGTTTTAATTTGACAACTTTATCTCTTTCAGCATGATTTCTTAGTGACTGTCATTTCTTCTCGAATCTAATTACGCTCTGCCAGAACTGCATTGTTTAAACGTATTTCTTTCTGCGCATAGCAACTTAGCTTGATGATATTTTTTTACGTTATATAATGCATGAATATAAATTATAATTATTGGTCTAAATGCGACATACATTTATAGAGAATAGAGGAGCATTGTTTTAATATGCATTTTTTTTAAGTATACATTGGCCGGTATTTATAATCAAATCTTACATATAAGATCTTCTTAAGTTTATCTTCAGATACTCCGTAGCCAATGAAACGAGTTGTACAGCATCTAAAGATAAATTTAAGACGATCTTAAATGTAAAAGTTGACTATGAATACCAGCCAATATAGTATGATCTTCAATTATGTCAATATTTCGGGGAGTAAATGCAGTGTGAATTTACGTTAATGCATACATAGTTATTATTAAACATTATTAATAAAGTTTCACTAATTATTAAACATTATCAGTAATTACTAAACATTATAATAAAGTGTCACTTGAAATAAAATATTTATACAAATCTTTCCTTCCAAAACATTTAGATTAAACGAGAATTGAGATGTGTGTGTCTTTCCATATTTTCGAAACATTGCCAGAATTATTAGCAGAGTATATTTGAACAAGAGATAACATGACTAAATCGAATTCGAATTTCATCCTCCCAATATTAAGAACTTAATCCTTGAAATTGAGATTTGTAATTTGCTACAGTTTGATTAACACTTCTGAATTATAATCTTTCGAGAAAGGTGCAAAACTTGGATTGGATTTACTTTACAAATTACTTCTTGTTGTGTGCAATATCAAGTAAGTTATATTCTTCTAATAAGTCAGATGATTTTTTGAAGGTATTTT